GCTGAGCTTATGCAGTTGCTTACTGTCATCTGAAATGGTGTCTTGTTCTTTCATCCCTAATTTGATCCCTTACTTTCCAGCCCTCTTTCCTGTTGCCTATCTCAAATCATAGAATCAACCATGGAATCATAAAATCATAGAATGGCCTGGGTTGAAAAGGACCACAATGATCATCTGGTTTCAACCCCCCTGCTATGTGCAGGGTCGCCAACCACCAGACCAGGCTGCCCAGAGCCACATCCAGCCTGGCCTTGAATGCCTCCAGGGATGGGGCATCCACAACCTCCTTGGGCAACCTGTTCCAGTGTGTCACCAAAGGGGTGCACTGTTGCACACAAGCTTCTGTGCTTGCCTGAAGACACAGCAAGCCACTCTCTAGGTGGAAAGCTGTTCCCCAAAGCGAGTTAAATCAGGTAACTATCAGGGGAGAAAAGCATTAGACTCAGTGCAAATGACAGGATGGGACCAACTGGCCAAGGCAGAAGGGAAGAAAGCAGAAGTACTGACAGAAGCCATTAGGTTGTCTCACCTCTTTTCTGCAATTTGCATTCCTGGGAATTACTGAAATATAAGGTAGGTTTTAGCTGTAATGAATCAATGATAAGGGCTGGATTTATTGTGCTGTTTGTGATCAAGAAGACTTTCAGGTTTTCCTGTCTGAGAATAAATTCACTGTTTTCCAGTATTGTGTCAGGGATAATTAGCAAAAATAGCAACATGAAAAGGCCAATTGGTGGAACACAGAGAAGCGGAACGTCCCATGAGAAATTTAAGCAAATTCACACGCACAAAAGGGCAGAATTAATTAGATAAACAAATGTTGGTACAGAACACAGAAACCACATTAGAGATATCAATTATTCCAAGGAGAAAAAAAAGCAATAAGATCAAAACCCACTTTCAAAATAAAGCCAATACTTCCATTCAGAAAATATCTCTTCTTTTCTTGCTCCATGTCCTGAAGGACAGAATAGTAAGAGGCAGAATTCTTGACATCTTCTACTCCTTCAATACAGCTAATCTGTGCCCTACGCAGGCACAGTTAATGCGTATTGCTTTTTCTTAATCTCCTCCAGTGGTCTTGTTGCTCAGCTTGTGCAGATAATTCATTAACTACTCAAGTCCCAATGGCAAAGGACTACAGGAGTATCCACGGTCAGGAAATGTGTAAGAGGGTGACTTAACACTCCCAGCTCTCCTCCAGCCCACAAGGGCTTGTGTAGCACAACTGAATAACACAGAAGGAAGGAAGGAAGCACAGACATCTAAGACTGCTTATTCCAGCTCCTCCTGTCACACAGAAAGATCCTGAGGACAGGGTAAGTTTATTTACTGGTCAGGTAAACAAACTCCTTGAGTTATTGGGAACTTGTGACATTTGCTGTGACTGTTATGGGGATGGGACAAATTAGCATCTGATCACATTGATAGCATGCTCCTCATTGTGTAATGGATGTGCTGGGTCCCACGGCAGATGACTTACACAGCCCAGCTCCATGGAGCAATGTACTTCATGAGCATGTGTTCTGGCTGCCATACCAGCCCTCATCCCTCTGAGATCTAGGACACTCCATGCTGCGCACAGCAGAACAACCCAACACCACACAGTACCAGCACCTGGGCTCTTAGAGACAGGAGAAAGAGAGATGTGCCATGCTGCATGATGTGGATGGAAACTGAGATGGCAACCAGCAGGCCACATGTTGCTCTCGGTACATGAGGCCTGAGGGAAGCATCCACACAGTGTTCTTTCCAAGTGTGTGCACACATCCTCTCTAGGTCCATGCATATTTACAAACAGTTACCTGAGTCACTAGGCAGTACTACTGCTGTTTTATGTCTGTCTCTACTATTGACACTGGATTCTCTGCTGCAGATACCCATGGATACCTCTGTATGCGCTCAGTGACTTCTTCCTAGCAAATCTCCCTGCACACTTTGACTTGCTAGGTATTTAGCTGGCTTTGGTTCAGTTTCCTTCAGCTACGTGCTTTCTAAGTAAGTTTTTTATTGTTATGCAACTTCTTTTTCCATCACTTTTGACTTATATGGTTGTCACCGTCTAACATACTGGCACCTCTATTTGAGAAGCATCCATTTACTATTACTTCTGTATCCATCAGCATGTTCCTTGCTGTCTCCCTATTTCTACTAATCTTAAATTCTTGTTTTTATTTCAAAATTGTGGAGCCCTCTTTTACGGCATCTTCACCACTGCTTTGTCAAACGGGAATAAAATTTCATCGCTGCAGGTCTATCAGCCATTCCCAAGCAGCTCTCTTTGCTTGTCATTTCTCCTTAGGGTTTGAAAACCCATAGACCAAACCAACGCCTTAATACCACTGTTAAGCTTCCTCACAAGGCTTTCCCAGCCATCCGTGCACACACATCTCTCCCGTTCTCCGATATCTCCCCTGCAGCCAGCAGTCACTGTGCTACCCTCTCTGTTCTAGAGATTGAGCACTTTAACTCTTTTGCAACACCAGTCATCTAGAAAAGAGTAATGGAAACATTTTTGTCCTAAAACTGTATCGTCCAAATAAAAACTAAGTTCCCTATATGGCTAATTCAGTTCCCTAGTCTAGTTTTCTCACATGGTTTCACCCTCCAGAAATGCTTCTTGAACGAATCCATTATTTATACCAATCCACTTTCCCCTAATCTTTCTGTAACATATCCTGTCTGTGAACTTTTAATTTGAAGATACAGTTTCTGCAAAAGATGTTATACAGATGATTTTTCCCATATGAAAGAATGGTGTGAATTCAATCAGCCATTATGAAACATGAAACAAAGTTATTAATGCATTTTTTGCTCTCACAGAATCTAATGTCAGCTACAAACCAGATGTAAAACAGCCAGAAAACTATTTCAAATTGTTTTGTGGGTCATTCTAGCAAACATTTGCCAAGTGAATGAAATCAGCCTCCATCAAGCAATTTACATGCACTTAGACTTTAAAACTGGAGTCACTGTTACACTGCAGTCAGAGAATGACTTTGATGTATGTGTAAATAAAGAGCACGTAATAAATTCAAGATAATTCATTCATAATGAATAAATACTTGTCTTGGTTCAGTTAAAATTACCATCACTGCTGATGCAATATCTCTCAGATCTGCTGAAGTCACAGGACAGGCCCAGCTACTGGACTCCAGAAGATCTTGCTAAACCAGTGTCAGATGAAAGGCAGAACTGCACTTGCTTCACATTTTCCAAGACAAAAAGCAGAAGGCAATCTAAAATAGTATTTTTAATCTCAATGGGGTTGTTTTATTATTGGTGCTCCTTTATTCCCCCCATAGCATATGAAGATCACTGTTCACACACGGTGTGAAGTCTCAGTACATATTTCTGAAAGAGGAATGTTGCAGTGCACCATGCAAGGTGAAGCACTAGTTCTTACACAGACTACTGGGTGAAACCGCGTGTTGTATATGTGGTGGAGCTGCTAAGAAAATTCCCCTAAGGGATGGATTTCATCATTCCTAACTCCAGCTACTTATAAGCACTTACTCAGCTACTCATCTCTGCTCCTCTGTAGCCAACAGAGGGCCAGGTACTTCCAGAAACTTTCTACACCTATTACAGGATGGGATTAATCACCTTCTGAAGGAATGTCTTTTTTCCACTGGCTAGAGAAGAAGCCTAGATGAGGAAGTATACATGCTGCCAAAATCAATATCTTGTCAATATTTCTTCCATTCCTTTGATAATGGCTGCTCTGACTTATATTTTCTTTTCTCCACATCACTACTTTCCCTCAGTCATTTGCCTGGGAGAGAGGAGTGGGTAATGTGGAACGAGAGGAGGATGCTTTGGATTTGATGATGACAGAATAATATAATGCAGAAGGCAACAACATAAACACAATATGGAATCAGCTTAAACAAGCTTTAATCCAGTAGGAACTTCAGACTTGTAAGAATTGGAGCATCAGCAAAAGCACTTATTTAAGAATGGCTCAAAATGGTTACAATTACAGGAATATCAAATACATAGACAAGAAGCAAAAATTAAATATAGCATTAAAGTAGACAGAATAAAAGTGAAACAAATGTAGATTCACCAATCAACAGCGCTGACATTACAGGAACCCATCACATATTTCCTTACATGGATGCTCCTGATTATTGATACTGATTAAAGAGGAACAACTTCATTTCATTACTTAAACAGAGGCAGCTGTTCAGAGCAGTATGAAAACAATAAAACAGAAATAAATAGCATGCTTTATATCATAAGACATTGTGTTCCCTGGTGAAATGTGATGAACTGACATGGATCAAGACTACTATGGCTGGCACTGTTTAGCAGCACATACTTAACACCAAAATCTGTTTTATAAATCTGCTTTCACAATATAGTGATTGCACTGTTTTCTAAGACATGCATGCTGTTTATCAGAAATGCATTACAATCAAATTATAAATTTGCACGTAGTGAAGTTCTGCCTGCTGTGCCTGGAAGATTGTATCCAGCCAGCTGGGGTACTCATCTATTTAATTTTTCAAACAGAGGATCAGAAACTGTTTGTCTTTTTTTCTGGACATATCTCATCTCACCTTATCATCCATGCACACATGAACATTTATCCGAGATTCCTTACCAAAACTCTTTTTATCTCCGATCACTTGCTTGCTTGGGAAAGTAATGAATTTCCCTATTGTTCCACAAAGACACTTAATGGGTCATAAAGTTTACTTCTGTTCTCAGCTGTGCGACTATAATGCTTTTGTTACATAAACAGCATGAGAAAACAAACTGCAGAGAAAAAAAAACCCATTATCCTATTATGCCCTTAATTCTACATAATGTTTCTAAGCACAGATCTTACAGGACTACATCCCTAAAAACTTCCATTTAACAAGATGGAGGATTTAAACTGAATAGGCAACTTAAGTCTCAGACTCAAAAAAACAGTGCAAACTCTGAAAAATTACAGTGTTGAGAATAAACTGTGCTGGTGCACAAATACACATACATGTATATGTACATACCTGTATATGTACAATAAATGTTTCCAGAAGCAAACTGAAGCCATTATGGTTGCCAAGAAAGCTCTCCAAAAGGAAATTTAAGTATCTCTTTCCTACATGTTCCTCCTTTGTAATAAATTTGGTATTTCCTTCTGCCAAAGACAACAGTAAACGTGGTAGTTTCTTTCTGATCTAGAGTCTGATCTACCACCATGTTGTGTCACTTGGTATCAAAGGTGGGTAAGACATGGGACAGGTATAACAAACAGACTGGCCCAGGGTCAGATGAGAGGGAAATAACTACCATATTATGCTGCAGCTAGATGCAATTGGTGGAATATCTGTTGGTATGCAGTAACTGACCTGGAGCAGCAATGTAGCATCCTGGTCTCTTTCCTCAAGTCTGTGGTTCCTGTTATCAGAAATATGTGGTTAGCAGACAAGATGAACTGCCAACAGCCACTGCATATTTAGGCATTTCAGATCAATTACCCAGCATCTAAATAGGGTTCTACTGCTGTCTTGTCACATTTTTATAGCTTTGGAGCAAAATAGATTGTGTGGGTGGAATATAAGATGAATGGAAAGCAGCTGGGACCACAGAGCAGCGGTCAGTGGGTGGGCATCCAGGTAGGACCTGTGTTCCTCAGGGTGCCCCTGTTGGTGCCAGGGCTGTTGGATATCTTCATTAAGCCCTGAGTAAGGGCCCAGGATGCACCCTGAGCAAGTTCACAGAGGACACCACGGCAGGGGGCAGCAGTCAACCACAGCTCTGTAGGTATTCAGTCCACATATAGCAGCAAAACCTGAAATAACTTTGAAGTTGCCCCTGCTTTAAGCAACTGGTTGAACCAGAGGCACCTTTGAACTTAAATTCTCTTATTCTGCCAAAACACTGCAAATAGGGAAAAAATAGCAGAAAATACCGCCCCATGCTCAGCATTCAGAATGAGCAAATGCTTCAAATAATACTGACTCATTCAGACCTTAGAGAAGACAAGAGGTGTTATAAAATATGACTTTGATGTCTATGCTGTAGTTGTATTTATTATATATTGGAAATCATCATTTTTAATGCACAAGGTCAAAGAATGGCATAAAAAAACTCTAACATATTTTAACTCAGTTCTTCATTCTTGAAATACTTAGTACTAATAAAAATATCTCATAACATACTAACTAAAATAGAATATAAGTAACTTTCCTACTACCTACATTTTTGTTGCCATTTTTCTAATTTCACTTGCCTTCACTTTGGAAGGTGCTTTCATACCCAGACACACACCTGTCCTCCTCCTTTTCAGCTGAAATAACTGAGCCTTCAGAACATCTCCAGTTATTTGCCTTACTTCTACATGTGGATTTTCCTTCATGACAAGGAATAATGGGGATTTCCCAGAACTACCATGTATGGACGGCATGCAAAATCCTTCTCCAAAAGTACTAAAAAGGGGTTACAAAGCAGCTTCCTGCCAAATAAGGGAGCTAACACTGAAGTCTGCACCATGTTTATAGCATAAAATGAGACTGGACAGTCTAAATACAGGCTGCCCTGCTCTAAAACTGTGCAGTTACCGTACAATACCTTCTGTGATCTTCTCAGGATTACAGAAGACAAATATAATTGTCACTTAACATGAGATTATTTTTACCACTCTTTTGCTATCTAAAACTCAATAGTTTAAATCACCTTTGAAGGCTCCTTCCAGGACCTAAGGAGAGAAGGAGATGCCTCTAAAGGGCACATCATGACAACAGTCCAGGAGCTAAACATAAGAGACCAGGAAGATGTTAGTGTACTATGAAAGAAGTTCTCAAGGAATAAGCTGCTTGAATTTATCATCTAATAAGATACTATTATATTATGAATGAAATGCAGATATTTAAAAAGGAGCTATCACAGGATCACAGAATTACAGAATGGCCAGGGCTGGGAGGGACTTCAAGGATCATGAAGCTCCAACCCCCCTGCCACAGGCAGGGCCACCAACCTCCACATTTAACACTAGACCAGGCTGCCCAGGGCCCCATCGAACCTGGCCTTGAACACCTCCAGGGACGGGGCATCCACAACCTCTCTGGGCAGCATCTTCCAGTACCTCACCACTCTCTTCATAAAGAATTTCCCCCTGACATCCAACCTAAATTTTCCCTCCCTCAACTTAAAACCATTTCCTCTTGTCCTGCTGTTATCTACCCTTTCAAAGAGTTGATATGCTCATACAAGCTATGCTTGAACTCATACAAGAGTCACTGTCAACCCGAGCTGTTCACTTATATATAGATCTCCACGTCTCCTTACAAAATGTGCTGTTAAATCACACCACAAAATCTAGCACACATTTATGACTGAAAGTATGGTAAGAGGACTTCTCAGTTGTCATTGTTTCAAAGGTGCTAACAAGATAAGGATGATTGCTAATTTATTCTGTTGTTATTATTTTTACATCAAAATTAAGTGTTTTTCCCTGAACAGTATGCAATATAAGCACACAAAAATGTAATCACTATAATCACTGAAAAACAGAAGTGCTGTAGACTTTCTTGGCACCTTGAGTTCCAGCAAGACTTACTACTTCAGTAATGAAAATGATCTGCATTTCCCCTGGCACTACAGCAAGGACTTATTCCATGTATTTGTGAAGTTTAAAGAATTTTAATGGCATTTCTCTTCATGTTGATGCTTTAATTAGCTTAATATGTGGTATGGAATCTGTCAGCAGGTATGGAATCTGTCTTCGTGTTTAATGGTATTTCTCTTCAACTTGATACTTTAATTAGCTTAATATGTGGTATGGAATCTGTCAGCAATTAGCATCTCTTATGAAAATCTGCACTAAAGCCAGTTTCTTTCAGGATGTTCAATTGGCAAGAAAAACAAGCAGCACAGTTTGAGCAGAGCAGAGTAGTTATCCTCACTGATCATTTTTTACATACATTTTACTAATTTGTGCCCACCAACACAAGCCCTTCCCTACCTCTGTATCTAATTTTAGCATCTTGTTTTCTAATCAGAAATACGTTGTACTGTATTGTGAAGAAATGACAGGCAAGCAATCAAATAAACAAGTATTCTTCATGTCATATAATCAGCTACATTTGATTTAAGTATTGTAGTATCTTCCATACATCCATCTGGACTATATGCCTTTGGAATGCAGTGACTTAAAGCTATGCTCTGTTCTTTAAACCATAACCTGTTTTGGAGGGGACAAGGGAGGAAAAAGGGAACAGCAACACATTATGCTTTAATTTCTGCTGTTTGCTAGTTCTAAACATCCTGAATCAGTGCAAAAGCATCTTATCCTTAGCCAAAGGGAGATTTTATTCTACTGGTGCCAAGCTCTGCATAACAGAGGCAAGCATGAATGCTGAGAGCTCAAGTGAAATCATGCTAGTCAATGAGGCAGAGCCTGATTCTGCAAGTAGCAGTTCCTTTAAATTAAAGGTTATACTTTGGTCAGCACATTGAAGTCCCACTGTGACTCTGGAATGCCAAGAACAAGGTCAAAGAAGTGCAGCATTATTAATACTGTGTTTTAAGAACAACCCATTGTCCATTCCGCCTAAATGTGCTTTCATTCTTTCTAAAACTCCATGTTTGCATTTATTGACTGCTGGATTTTTGCTGGACTAGCCCTGCTAACCATTACAGATTTCATACTGCACTTAGCTTTTCATCAACTGTGAAAAAAATTAGACTTATAGAGGGCAGATCACAAATAAATACAAATTCAAGTTAAAAAGAGAAATAGATTTATGGAGAAAACATCAATTAGAAACAGGTGTCATTTTTTTCTTCTAATGTAACTGAACCCACTTTAATTTTCAACTAAAAAAACCAGCACGAATGAAGTATTGATTCATTCCAGGGGCCAAAAAACTCTCAGAGCTACTCTGTGTTAAGTTCAAGTTATACAGAAGTAACTGTTAAAGGAATTCCAGTTAAAGAAGAAGTAACTGAGTAAATAATTCCTTTTCCTCCATGCCCTCTTTTGTTGTGATGCAATAAATAGAAATTTGAGTTACCAGAATATGATTTTTTCTATTACATTTCTATGTTTATCTAAGTATTTACAAATTATTGATGCCTGCAAATTTGTTTAAGCTGCCCTAAACCTTTTCAATTATATGTACTCAGCTACACTCCAGGGAATAATTGCTGCCCTCAGTTGCAGTATGATGTAAACCCTTTCCAACTCATTTCTGAAACATGTGAAAACAAGCCACTCAGCCCTAGGTGGACAGTGTTAAAGGCTTTGCCTACTGTGGATGATACTCAGAACAACAAGCATAATTAAACTTTCTAGTTATTTTCTTGGTCTGTTCACTAACAGAACAGTGTTTCAACAGTCAGATCATAACTGTTATTAATAGAAAGCTGTTTTCCTTGTTCCACGCTGGGAAATACAAATAGGGCCTAGGACCAAAAATACTGGTTTTATCCCCTCTCCTTGTGCAAACGATACAATGCATTTAGTCTTACAAGCTTTGGCAGCATCTCATCCACGTTATTTCTTTTTATAAGCCATTTTATTTTCTGGTAAAGACAGAAGCAATGGAGAACTAAGTGGCAGGACAGAGGAAAAATCAAAGGTAAAATAACCCTGAAATATTATGGTTGTTAGTAAAATAGCATGAATGCTGTGGAAGACAGTGCTATTGTGATGTACCCTCTCTCTTTAGCTTGCAACTTGGAACCTTGGAATTCATCCTTGTCTCCAATTTAGAAATAGAGAAAGCAATTCTTAAAAAAACAAATAAGTTATTTTGTTACCAGCAAAATTAATGAGTCCTGATCTGTTGCAGATTTATGTCTCACAGGTCACATCCCGGAATCCTTAGTTTTCCAGGGTGGAGAGCCAACACCATAGCATCAGAGGGTAACTAATTTACACTTCTTTTCTCTGCCCACCCGCGTATTTTCATGAAACTTGAAGGAGCTGCACATCTCTGAGGTATCTACCTCCCTGCTGAATTTGCCTGAAATTGGTTAACACGTTCAAAAAACTGAATGGGGAGGGGAACAGAGAAATATACAGACAAACTTCATAGCTTTATCAATCTCATTTCTTTGGGAAGCCCAGCTGGAAACAAAAGTTGCGAAGTAGAGGAGTATTTGAAAGTTAAACTTTCAAAAAATGCAAAAAATGCAAAAAAAATCCAACCCTGGTATTATGAAATAAGTTTATCTACAAATAATGAAATCAAGATAGGAATTACTAAGAAGGAAACAGGAGATCACAACAGACCACTTAAAAATTGTTAGTAAAATGTAAGGTGCATCAATCATTTCTTCCTTTAAGCTTAACATCACTCTTTTGATTTATACCTGTGAAGGCTCTGCACTATTAAATGAATTGTAGTTCATAATGCTTAGCTGTAATCAGTCTACTGTAAAGTACACGTTGGACATGATTTTATTCAACCAAGACAGTGCTATTTTTTGCTGAGAGCAAGAAAACTCTAAGACTTTCTACAAATCCAGTCCAACACACCTTCCTTTACCCAGATGGCCCCAAGGTCTTTTTCCGACCTCCTCACATAAATAAAAGCAAGGGGTCTGCAAGCCAAGCTAAATATAAAACAAACCACAAAGCAACATCATATCCTGTCTGATTTAGTAAGCGAATCTTGACAGTAAGATTCTTCTTTTCAACATGTAGATTTTTAGGAAAGCATTGTTGATTGAAACTTCTGTAGGATGAGATCACCTCTTATGGTAGAGCTGATCACTGGCACATTGACGCCCAAACTGGCACATCTCATCCATTTTGTCTCCCTCCCCATCCTTTTCTCTGCTACACAGTCCTGGCCAAACTCACACTCATCTGACCCTTCTCTGGGTCAACTCACTAAATCAGCTGAAATTAATTTAGTTTTTTAAAAAAAACAACAGGTTTTTATTGTCAGAAGTGATGACCCCATAAATCATTCCTTGCTCGATACAGATAGAATCATGGTCACTTCATATTTCTCAGGTGCTTCTCAGAAAATGTGAAAAAAATGACTAATATTTTGGAGCATACTGGAGCAGCTTTAAGTCAACTGAAAATCTCTGCTTTTTGTGTTTTCAAGACATCGTAACACAAAAAATTAGAACAAAAAGTGACGTTACTTACCATTTGTCTTCTGTTCTCTACCAGGTGGATGCCTACAATCCCTAGGAAAGATCCAAAGCCAAGCTAAGGTAAAGAACAAAAACCAACAGAAACATACGAGGTCAGCTTATTTGGTCAACATACTAAATCACAACAGTGATATCTGAGCAGGTCATCATACCACTATTTGGAATGGGTCAGGGGAAAAGGTAAATATTATCACTGGACATAAATCATATAATGCAACGGGGAATGGCCAGAAATCCAAATCTTTAACATTTCAGATTAAAACTTGTAATCTAATAAAGGAAAGCCTCTGAAAATTTATGCTTTTATAACCTGGCTATTGTTACCATTATCACGCATTGTTTTACAAATTGTAAAGCAAAAATTAAGTGAAGTGGGAGGAAAGAACACTGACATTTAGCCCACACATCATTATCTGGGAAAAATGTAGAGCTTCAGGCAACAGGAAAGAGTTTTCCTCAAAAATAGGTGCATTACTGCCACCCAAGTGACTCAAGTTCATAACCCTACAGTTGGGTTTGTTTGGTTTTAATGACTAAACACTATCACACAGAAAAAGTCCCTGCTAAAATGCCAAAAAGACAAGTACCAGTTGCTACCATAACAGGAGAGAGGAGGAAAGGAAGGTAGAGTAAAGCAGCATTTGTTCTTGTCAGTGCTGCTTCAGAACTAGGCCGGCAGGAAAACGCCGCTCTGTATTAGGGGCCTGTGAAAGTTTGGAGAGATGGAAACTCCTTGCATTTTTGTCCAACATGAGGTAAAGTGACTACAGGGAAACCAGTCTTTCATTCCAGCTTTCTAGCATCAGGATTCCCATCACGCTCATGTTCATTTGAATAAAAGGAAGCTCCTTTGTGCCCCACAAGCAAGACTTAGCTAGTCAGAGATTTAGAAACAGCCACAGCAGTGCTGGTGCCATTGGGCTTTCTCCTGCTTCTCTCTTCCTGCTTTGCCTGACTATATGATTCTTTGCCACCACCTCAGTCTCAACCCCATCACTACCACACTCCTGGTTCCACTCTTTGCTACAGATGGCACTGCTCTGCTTGGAGAAGCCCTCAACCATACTCTTAACTCACAAAAAATCACTCCATGGATGGAGCATGACTTTTCTGTTAAGGAATCTAAACATCTTCCTGGTGCTAGCTTCAAAGTCTCTTTTCCAAACCCAATTAAGTTTTTAAGGACTAAGCCTCCCAGCCAAGGTCTTGAGTGAGGCCCATGAACTCCTTGCTCTTATGCACAACTGCTCACATCAGAAAGCAAATCTCCTGTCAGCACTTTAATATCACACCAGGAACCCATGATTCTTCCTCAAAAGGCAAATGTAGAAAAAGGGATTTGCTATTGAGTGTTTTGGGAAGATTTATGTGAAAGGGAGGCACAAGTATGAAAAGCAGAGACTAAAAGAGTGTAGAAGCGTGTCTGAGGTGACTGCTAAATCAGAGAGAGACTTGGAACTGTGAGCAAGGACACTGCGTTCAGGGGACAGCAACTTTGTAAATTAACACAACTACATCAAAATGACAGCTGGTTCCAAAACCAATTTTAAATCAGAAGAGGAAAAACCCATGCAGTCCCATTTAAGGCTTATACAGCGGACACAGTGGAGCAATATTATCCACATGCAGGAAAAAAAAAAAAGAGCAAATAAAGAACAATAGCAATTAAATCAGAAAGTGTGGAACCACGGATAGGGATCATACCATAAAACCACAGAACTACTGAGATTGGTTTAGTGTTCTATTTGCTGCTTGTCTTGTCTGTTAAGATAATAAGCTGCTTGGGTTGGAAACTTTGGAAATCAGAGTCAGCATGATGACAGAGATATTTGGACTCTGTATTCTCCTGGTTGAAAGATTATAAAAATAGAAAATTAAAAAAATACAAGCAGTAGTCATACATAAGTGATACAAAATATTTATGTATTAACAGTATTTATAACGAAGCAAGGCTGAAGAAGCTCCAACTTCCAGCCTGAAAGTTATTTTCTTACTGTTAAATTCTATGAGAACTAGATCTTGTTTTTATTTGCAGTTGACACTGTCTGATCTCCTAAACTTCTTTGAGCCCAACAATTAAATAGGTAATGTAGAATTCACTTACCAAGTTCTAGCTATTTAGAATTTGGGATCAGTACTATGCCAGTTTTCTAAGCTCCCTCTACTCCCAGTGGATCAAAGGAGCACAATTTGAGGGTTATTGAGCTCTGAAAGGTCTTCCATAGCCATTTGTCAGTGCTGCACTGGAATCAGCAATCTCGAAAAACAGGGCAGGGACAGCAGAGCTCCTCTGACTTGGCCAGATATTGTACAAGGTTTGCAAAATATTTATACCGATTAACCACCACTCTTTCTCAGTTTGTTCAATAAGACAGCATGTGCACAAAAAGAATTCCAGATTTTAGGAAAACCAACAATCTTTTGAAGAGAAAATGTAATAATAATGACTCTGTTATCTAAATATTCCAATATATCCTAGCTATTTTGAATATTAATAGCTAACATTTAAAAATTAGTATATTGTTTTATTTTTCTGGGTGAGCAGACATTGTTTTCTTCCTAAAAGAAACTAAATGCTGAAATAAATGAGTTTATGGCTTCTTACACTGACTCAATGCAGCTTTCCAAAGAAACTCCTTTCAAGGGAACAAATGCAGAAAATGTGGCCTTCTAAAATACTTTAATTCAATTTACAGAAGATTTTTATCAGTATTAATATATCTATTTTAGTTTAATGAAAGGAAGAGTCATTCTTCTAAGGTCTTATTATTGGAACTACTTTTTGTTCTATTTTTAAAACACCACTCCTTACAGATCATTATCCCAAAATTATCTTTCTGAAAGACCTATTCTCAACATTACACTAAGATGTAATAGGACTTGCTTAGGAGGAACAGTTCTAATTCATAAGTTATTAATGGCAATGCAAAATGTATGCACAGTATTAAAAGATGAAATGCCCTCTTCTCCGGGAATTTCATTTCACAGAGAACAAGAACCTTGCAACACATCTATAGAATCATAGAATCACCAAGGTTGGAAAAGACCTACAAGGTCATCTGGTCCAACCATCTACCTATCACCAATAGCTCTCACTAGAGCATGTCCCTGAAAACAACGTCTAAACATTCTTTGAACACCTTCAGGGTTGGTGACTCCACCACCTCTCTGGGCAACCTATTCCAGCACCTAGCAACTCTTTCAGAAAAGTAGTATTTCCTAACACCCAGCCTGAATCTCCCATGGTGCAACTTGAGTCCATTCCCCCTCATCCTATCACTAGTTACATGACAGAAGAGGCTGACCCCAAGATCACTACAGCCCCCGTTCAGTAGTTATAGAGAGCAATAAAGTCACCCCTGAGCCTCCTCTTCTCCAAACTGAACAATCCCAGCTCCTTCAGCTACTTCTCACAAGGCCTGTGCTCCAGACCCTCACCCCTCATTCGGTACCTCTTTGGTACCTACCTCTTTTCTTTTTTTTTACTTCGCATCCTTTACCTCCTCTTGGCTGTCTAGGGGAGAGCAAATAAGCCATAGAGACTATTTGCTGCCCTTGTTTTTCTTTTTTTCTAAAATTCAGTTCAGTCACCTAAAAAAGCTATTCGTCTTCCAAAGTCTTCCTCTCTTTTAGCTATGACCAATCACTTCTGAGATTGGAAAAAGCCAAAAAGGGGATGAACCAGCAAGGCCTCCCCAGAAGACACAGGAGCACTACAGAGTTAAACAGATGCAGCATAAGCCTTGTGTCCAGTGCAGGTATATTTTTAAGCGGCCTGCTCCAAAAGTAAAAACAAAACGAAGGATCTGGAAGGAGAACTTGTGAATGAGAACAGATACCAAGACTGTACAAAAAGATGTAGAACATTGATAGACTCTAGGGAGGAGCTTCCATATGCCCATCAATAGCATTTTCCCTCCCCTGGACGTAGCAGAATTCTTGGCGTGTGGACAGAAGAGCAGAGTGACTCTTTGCACCATCGGTGCAGTAAAAATGCCTGTCTGTCATGTAGTCACTTGTATGCCCATTATTATTGGGAAGTCAGGCACTGCCTCCAGCACAGGCCAAGGAGATCAGCATACTGCTGTGTGGTGCAAACTTGGTCCCTCTGTCCCCCAAAAGCCTCCCCTTTAGGGCAATTCAGTGTTTACTCCCCTACATAATCACACACTAGAACTAGATCAAAACAAATAAGCATCTTCTTTCTGTGAAATGCAACACAAAATGATTTTCCTTTTGTTTTCTTTTTATAAATTAGAGCTTCCTGTATCCAGCTGATATAGTTATCTAGTAGGTTTCTTTACTCACAATAATGCCTGGGTAGTAGCCTCCCACAGTAACATTTTCTGTTCTTGTTGTAGCTGCCAGACCTATGGTCAGTATGAAAATGGACACCACCAGTAGAGAGATTGTGAACCAAAGTGAAGTCTTCTTCCTTTTTGCAAATTGCCCTGTAAAAAGTAGAGGGGAGGAGGGGGAAGAAAAGAGTTTTGAATTGCAAAAATTGCAGAACAAATAAATACAAAATAATCAACTGTTCATTGAGAGGACATGGAAATTCTTCATTATCAATACGTTCTTCACTATGCGTTGTATGGGTTTAAATAAAGTCAGTTCTGTTTCATCAAAGCCAGTTCAGAACTGAAAAGCAGACTTCACATGTGTAACTCCACAAGTCAGCTACTATTCCCACAAAGTAAAGTGATTCAATACATCTACCAGATTTTTTAATATATTGAAGTGATTTCTTCTAACTTGACTTCTAGTCTTGACAGAATCACAGAATGGCCAGGGTTGGAAGGGACCTCAAGGATCATGAATCTCCAACCCCCCTGCCACATGCAGGGCCACCAACCTCCCCATTTAACACTAGACCAGGCTGCCCAGGGCCCCATCCAATCTGGCCCTGAACACCTCCAGGGATGGGGCATCCACAACCTCTCTGGGCAGCCTGTTCCAGCACCTCACCACTCTCTCTGTAAAGAACGTCCCCCTGACATCCAACCTAAATTTTCCCTCCCTCAACTTAAAACCATTTCCCCTTGTCCTGCAGTTATCTACCCTTGAGTAGATAGTTGATTCCCCTCCTGTTTGTAGGCTCCCTTTAGGCACTGAAAGGCTGCAGTTAGATCAAGCCCTTTGAGCTCTTACAGCTCACACTCTTAAGTTTTTCTGATGTTACTAAGATAGCAATCTGTTCTCTGTTCCATCTCAACGATACAGTTCTCAGGCATGCAGCTCCACGAGTGTTAAGTAATTGATGGAAATGCAAATGCAGCATGTTACACACCAAATAAAAGTATACTGGTAAACCTCAAGACTCAGAAAAAAGGAAGAAAAAAAAAAAAAAAAAAGCCCTCCTTCAGCATATGGATTAAGGTACTTAGTTTCAGATTCCCAGACAATATCCAAACTAGTTGCTTGTTGTAACTCATAGTTACATTACTGTTGTAGTCATCTGTCCAACCTACGGAGTACCTGTACAGCCTACAATAAGTGACACATAAAATACAGTGTGGCCCAATAGATTTTGGATTTTGGATGCTTGGCTGTGCTGATCATCTTTCTGAAAAACAAGATAAGTTGTTGGTGTTGAAAAGAGAAGTAAAAAAATAAGTATCTTTATGATGTATATGTCTGGAGACTGATGAGTCTCCTGAAGCCTTGTCCAAGCATGCATTGGAAGCTACTACTTCAGTAGCACAATTGTTACATGAATCAGCCCAGCTACCATAACAGAGTATTACTGTCGACTATTCCATTCTTCAGCAGAAAACCAATGGGATTTCCTGTTTATTTCCTCCACTTTTATAAAGTTTAACGTATCTGTCCAATGAGTCATTTTCTAACCTACAGAAAAGTATATGTGGAAAAGAGGCTGGCTTCTCCAAATCCATTTAATCCTCTTCACATCTCCTGAGCAGTCAGTCAGGGAACTCTTTGTCAGAGATGAATTCTCTGCTACTGTGAAAGACTTCAGTAATCTTCCTTATCCCTAGAATAGAAATCAAGTTATAAGACAGAGGACTGTGCTGGTAGTGATGATGGGTTCCGTCAGTGCACCAGAGCAAAGCTCTATTCTTCTTTAGTAGAAGACTGAAATGTGATTCTTCCCACACTCACGCAAGCAGACACCCTTTAATATGACCGATGCATTCAGGACCTGACTTGAACCTGGCCTGCTTATTTGACAAGACATAACTCTTCTCATTCCTACTAACCAAACACAATACACGCAGGGAAACAAATCTAAAAGCACTTAGAAAAATAAAATAAATTTATACTTCTAAACTTACCATAAACCAATGGTCATAAATAAAAGAAAGTGAAGGAAAATAGATGGGAATTAACCAGCTCTGTCTACAAATTTTTAGTGAAATATGAATTCAGACTCAGAAAAACTTTAAAAAGTCCATCAATGTTACTTACCACACCATCATACAGCAAACCCTGCTGTCACTACACAGTTAGCAGCAACCGAAACACTGCAGAGCATGTGAGGAACAAAGGGCTGGAAGGCAGGCTTACTCCAGAACCTTTAAACTTGCTTTCCCACCATCACCGTACATGTACTTTTGCTGCAATCTCTACTTGTGTATGGGGAGGCTCTGGGTACATGACAGAGATTATTTACATTCAAGTATCAATATTTTTAAAGAGATTAGAATTACCTCAAATGTAGATAATACATGTAATAATAATACAGTGAGTGATGCATACAGATGTGTAATGTGCAAGGGAACTATAGTGATGCACAGCAAAAAATGAGGATGAAAGAAGGTCTTACATCAAGGGTGCTGCCTTTGTAGAACACTCTCTGGCAAAGCTTTCCCAGTGAATGATCCTTCTTAAGCACACCAGATCAGTTCAAAGGGAAAAGGAAACCGCAGTATGGTTGAAGGTGAGACTAACATTTGCTATTGGGAATCCTTATACCAGGCTAACCCTCCACAACCATGAAAATCAGACCAGAAGAAATGATGAAGTTTCATAACTATTCTGCCTTTTCAGAGCTTCTAAATAATTGAAAGAGCTACTGCAGAAAGCTGAGGTACTTGATGCCTGCGTTCACCAACAAGGTCTCCCTCTCAGAGATAAGATTCAAGGAGAAGAATTACCACCTGCAGTAGATAAGGACTGAATTAGAGATTACTTGAGGAAGATCCATGCATTCAAGTCCACTTGACAGACTACATCTATGGATACCAAGAGAACTAATCCCTGCTGCTCTCTATCATCTTTGAAAAGACACAGACACCAGGGAATTCTCAGTAACTGAAGAAAGGCAAATACACCGGCTATCTTCAAAAGGCCAAAACAATGATTCAGTGAATTATGACCTGATCAGCCTCATGTTCTTTCCCGGGAGACTGGAACCAAATATTATGGAGCATGTCCTTTTGGAAGACATTTCTGGGCACATAAGCAAAAGAAGACTGGCAACAGTCACAACTGACCAACCCAACTGCCCACCACAACAAAAAGTCTGTCATTGCGGAGCAGTGAATGTCATTCACGCCAAATGTGGCAAAGATTTTAACACAGAGTCCTACAATGTTCACAAAACCAAGCTGAGACATCATGGTCTGGTTAAGTAGACAAGAAAATGTTTAAAAAACTGGCTGGATGATTGACTTTCAGAGAGAGTGGTTAATGTATAGTGTATACTGGAGGTCAGTAACACGTGGAATACCACAGGAGTCTGTTTGGGGGACCTGTCCCTTTTACTGTATTCATTAATGCCCTGGAGAAAGTGGTAAGAGTGCATGCTCTTCAAGCTGGCAGATGACAACAAACTATGGGACCAGTCAATACTATGGAGGGCAAGGTTGCTATTCAAGGGCCAGCAGAAAACTTAGAGACTCTAACAGGCAGAGATGAAGTTCAGAGCACAACAAGAAGCTGTGTCTTGCAATGATACTGGCTGAGGAGTGCTAGGCTGGGGAGCAGCTCTGCTGAAGAACACCTGGGGGTCCTGGCAGACAATGAGCTGAACATCAGCCAGTACTGTGCCCTGGCGGCAGAGGTGAGCAGAAGGCCTGCATCACCTGTAGATAAGAGAGATAATCATGCCTTCAGTTCAGCATTTGTTGGATCACATATAATAGTATATCCAATTTTAGACCCCCAGGACAGGAAAGACATCAATTGGCTGCAGTGCGTTCAGCAGGAGAGCCCTGAGAAGCTGGAGGGGACTGGCGTACTCACTTTGTAAAAAGAACCTGACAGAACAAGGCTTGTTTGGTCTGGAGAAGAGATGGCTTTTAGCAATGCCAGTAGAAATCTTCCAATGCCTACAAGGTGGTCATCAAGAGGACAGAGTCAGGCTTTTCCTAGTAGTACACAGCAGAAGGACAAAAGTCAGTGGACATAAATTGAAACGTGTTTTGGGTGAGGTATAAGGAAAAAAAAATTAACATTAGGACAGGGAAGCACTGGAACAGGTCTCCCAAAGAGGTTGTACTGTCAAGATCCTTGGAAGTTTTGAAGATCCAACCAGAAAAAGTCCTGAGCAACCTGGTCTGACCTCACCACTGACCTTATCTTCACCAGGAGGTTGAACTGGAAGCTTCCTAAGGTACTTTCCCACTAGAGCTACCTTGATTCTATTGTACAGTAGTCAATACTGCTAGATTAAAGGTGGTTTGGGTATATAACCCAGTAATGTGCTTATAACTACTGTTCCAAAACTGCGGTTTTTACGTAGACGTACTCTAAAGGGATGTAAGAATGCAAACCTTCTGAAGGTCAGTGGATCAGATGATCTTCAGCCAAGTTTTACTGAAAACACTGAATGTCAGCTTTCATGAGACGTGCCCAAGGAGCAAAGCTACTGCATTTTCAAAGTAACACCTGTACTGGCAGAAGCTAATCAGATTGCACGGAGATAAAATATATGTCCAAGCTGCCTTGTGAAGTTTGGATTATATTGTATCGATGATATCAATAATGATATGCAAAAAAGAAAGACATGAGTTTGATAGCCCAGATTAAGTTTGCAGGAAAATATCTTAAAAAGCATGCTCTGATTTGTAAATGGAGCAAATTGGATTTAGTGAGATAAAACTGAAAAGAATGTCATTATTCATAAGGTCTTTTTTTTCTGACTGAAGTACATCTTAACTTTGATATTTACAGCTGCCACAAAGCATAATCAATTTATGCATGTGATACCCTTCAATCTTCACATTCTTTTATTTTGTACCAGCTACATCTCAAACTGGATGCAAATATCCAATCATACGTTCTTTTTTATATTTTATACTAGAAGCTCTTACAACTACCTGTAGCTAGCAACAGACTTCACCCTTAGCAGAGATGACTTACATGTGTGGAGAGAGGCCTCTTCTACAGATACTGGCACATGAAATCTCTTGTTTTCAAGGAACTGTAAAGCTAGGTGGGTAGATATTAACTTCTAATAGACTGCTGTTAGTCTGGATTTTCTTAGTCACATCAAAAAAACATTTGGCGCCCTTATCAAAATGTCTATAAATTATATGTATACACCTCAGCAGCTTATTGTGAGGACTAAGTAATGTATGTAAAGCAACATAATATCTTCAGATGGAAAGGGCTGCAAATAGTTCTTACTATTATTTCCCTTCCGCTATTTCAGTCACGCTGTCTCCCAAGATTTTTCAAATCTTTATTTACTGCTGTTTGTACCAGTTGCCATGCAGCTTTTGGATCTGCTTTTATTACTTTCCCGTGGGTCTGTGCAGCCAAAAAGCAATGCCAGACTGTTCCCAAGGGCACAGCACTGTTCATAGCACAGGCAGACAGCCTGATTCTTCCCCAACAATTTTGTGGTAAGCACTGAACCAAAGGCTGACCATGTAAAAAAAAGCCATTTACAAGCACAGGAGAATTTGCTGTCAGTATTCCTAGGTTGATTTTTCCCCCCAGTGTGGATATTTTGTGGTGCAGGAAACAGTTAATGAAGGCTTACAAGTTTTTAACACTGAAGTGACTCTCAAAACAATTTTGACAGTTATCCCCTTAAACTTCTTTAACCATGATGCAGTGTGAACTCTTACTCTGAGCCTCACTCCACTTTGCTTAACACATCAAATTCATATCCTAGCATGCCAAAAATCAAGTGTGTGAAAAGAAATGTTCTCATCATATTCTCAGTAGCTTGAGAGCTGGTCAATAGAGAGTGTGCACATATTATCTCATCCTCCTCAGGAGCAGAAAGAAGAAGTGCTCACTGAAGATCGAGCTCTGCTGGTCACATAGCAACAAAATACAGCAAAATTTCTTCGTTCATCAGTGGCAGAAAGCCAAATTATTTACAGTGCTCTGCTTACAATGACCAGGGGGATAAATTCAATTTGCTGGACAATCATGGAAAATGAGTGGTTTTATAGGGAGGGTACAGATTAGATTTCTGGTAGAATGCAAAGCATAGGTCCTTTAATGAACTGCAGGCTCCGTATTTGAGTGAAGAAAAGTATGAGTTTAAAAGGAGAATGAATGAATTTATGATGAAACATGTCCATGGTATGGAAAGTGGGCAGTGGCCAAGGAAGGGAAAAATAGAGTGAAACAGTATCTCCCAACTCTGGAAAACTTGCGTGTGATCTGCAATCTAACTCAAAAAAGTCTAAATTTAGACTGAGACAACTCTATTTTACTAACTTCACAATTCCTTTTAAAATCCAGCTCCAGACATCATAAAGTCTATAAAATTTTTGCAAGGAAAGAAACACTGCAGGATGTAGCAATTTGCTGGGACAAAATCACATTTGCTAGATATTGGTACCACGCAATTTCATAAGTTCCTCTTTGATCTAGTTAGGGTGATCTAAATGGAAATGCTTATTTGAAATAATGCTCCAGCCAAACGTGTATTAGCATCCTAATATGAGAAAAGATAAGTGAGGAAAGTTTGGTAGCAGAAAGAAAAGGTATCTCTTCATTACCTAATGAAAGAATTGCGATTTTGTGTTTTGGACAAAGTGGCATTGATCATACATAACAAGATCATTTAAGCAGAACATCACCACGGACAGAGGAGTACAGTATCAAAGCAGTAATGCAAATTCTGCATCCGTTGCTTTGGTGCTGCCAAGCAAATATTTAAGGGAAGAAGTTTGGAGCTAAATTAATAATTTCTAATTACTGCAGCGCTCACTTCAGTGCAATCTCTCTCCCGGCTATGGCTTTCATTGTCTATTTTCCAAAATGGTTTTGCCAGCAAATGAATCCTACGTCGCTTCCTAAAGCTAAATGTGATGGACTAAGATGCTTAAAAGGGATACTCATACCTACGATTGGCAGTTGCTGTCCCTTCCCTGATTAAATGCTTGACTTGTCCAGAGTGCTGAACTAATTAAAGCAGATGCAGCAGCACTCATTCCAAGCCACAAGATAGCAGCCTGTACCACGTCTGTATCTTTAATTTGTGAGGAATAATCCATCAGTGTGATATATATTCAACTCCTCCAGAAACACAGAAACAGGTCTATCATTAAAAAAAAAAAAAACACACACACAAAACCCACCCAAACTCACTGTGCTTTGACACTCCGTTGTGTGGCGACAGTGCTACCGTGCAGTTCTGATATGACCTCACAGCTTTGGCAGCAACTGTTTCGCTAATAAATAATTGAAGCAGCTCAGCTTTAGTTTAAGGGCAGCCTTAAAGATTTCCACTGCTCACCTGAAAACACTTGTCAAGTTATGTTATGGCACATCTTCCCGTCACCTTTTCAACACTGAGACCGTTCTTCTTCCACGTGTAAGGGGAAGTTCTATCATTCTAAGTTCAGGCTCTGCCGCGGCTGGCGGTGAGGACCCCTGTGTGCATAGCGGGGACCGCGTACCCCCAGCACCTCACTGCCGGCTGCTGTCCCCCCTTCCCCTCAGCACTCCCACCTGCTCATCTCCTCACACAGAGTAAAGCTATATCGTCTCAACGCTAACGCACCAGCACCGCGATTTCTCAACCACAGCGGCACGCCGAAAAGAAAGAAGGCAGTTAGTAAATACATCAGCACACGGCTGCAGCCCCGCCGCCCGCCCGGTACCCATCTCCGAGGGACGCGGGCGGACACGCCTTCGCTCCTCCATCCCCACCAGCCAACACGGCAGCGAAGAGCCGCTGCCCTCGAGGCTCGCCGCGGGAACAGGGGCTCACCTGTGGGGTCCAGCAGGGCCAGCGGGCCGGCCATCGCGGGGGCGGTCGCCGGCGCCATCATCCTCCGCGGGCGGCTCCGCTCCGCGCCGCGCTGCCGTCGCGGCTGGCCGCGGGGTGCGGGCGGCAGGGCGGGCTCGCCCCATGGGGAACGCGGCGGGGCGGGGCGGGGCGGGGCGGGGCGGGCGGTCAGCCGGCGGCACCGTCGGTCCGTCAGGAGGTACCAACGGCGGCTGTCCGAGGGGAGCGCGGCGTGGAGCAGCCTCCGTCCGGCGGCAAGCCGTCCCTCCGCCCCTCTCGGGCGCTGCTCTGCCCTGTCCCCAGCCGCCCTGCCCTGTGGAGTGGGCTAGCCAGGAACTGGGAGCCGGCAACAAACTTCTTTAGGCCTTTTCCAAGTGTGTTCCAACAGCCGCTGCATCGTCCAGGTGTCCGCCATTCGTTCTGCAGGACTTCTCCCTAGCAGAGAACAGAAGGACGTGTTTTTGTGGACAGTAATTCTGGTAGGGTGCCAGCCACTTTTCTTACATTAAGGCATTCTTCAGCTTGTAGTAAACCTAAGCCTCTCTGGTTAATGTCCTTGGTTTTTTATTGCTCAAACCTCTAAATGGTAGATGTACATGTCCTTAACTTTTTCACGTATTTTCCTAGAAAATGATTACGTGAAATGAGACGACTTCCTCAGCCACTCAATAGTCTGTTGCATCATGTAACAGAATCATAGAATTACAGAGTCGTTTGAGTTGGAAGGGACCCTTAAAGGTCATCCAGTCCAAACCCCTGCAATGAACAAGGACACCAACAGCTCGATCAGATTGCTCAGAGCCCCATCCAGCCCAACCTTGAGTGTCTCCAGGCATGGGGAATCCACCACCTCTCTGGGCAACCTGTGCCTGTGCCTTATCAGACCTTATTGTAATATACTTCTTCCTTATATCCAGTCAAAATCTCCCCTCTTTTAGTTTGAAACCATTTTCCTATGTCCTGTCACAACAGACCCTGATAAAGAGTCTGTCCCCTGCTTTTTTTATAGCCCCCATTTGGATACTGAAAGTCTGCTCTCAGGTCTCCCCAGAGCCTTTTCTTATCCAGCTGAGACAGACTGTAAGCCAGCAACTAAGGGCAGCCACAGACTGTGAACACTCCACATCCCAGAGCCACTGCTTTCTCTTTGTGTCCTCTAGATTGGAGGGGTTGAAAGCTGTATTCTGTATAGGAAAGATGAGGACAGAGGTAGCATTTGCACTAATAATAATCACTAATTATTAACAGAGATGAATAAAATAATGTGTTGTAAAGACAGAAAAGGTGATGGTACAAATAAAACATTTACAGCTTATCATTTTCTACAAGTCCCTGAAAGGAGGTTGTGGTGTGGAGAGAGTCAGCCTCTTCTCCCAGGTAATAGTGATAGGGTGAGAGGGAATGGCCTCAAGTTGCACCAGGGAGGTTCAGGTTGGATATTAGGGAAAAATTCTTCTCAGAAGGAGTGCTGAGGTATTGGCACAGGCTGCCCAGGGAGGTCTGGACTGAGTGGAGTCACCATCCTTGGAGGTGTTCAAGAACCACGTAGATGTGGCACTGAGGAATGTGGTTAGTGGGCATGGTGGGGATGGGCTGATGGTTGAACTAGATGATCTTAGAGATCTTCTTCAACCTTAATGGTTCAATGATTTTATGACTCTGTGATTTCTTTAGTGAAAGTGAGATGCATACGAGTTAGTTTAACCCCTCAGGTTGACTATGGACAGGGATTTCCTTTCCATAAATAACAGGCAAGACTTTAATTCCCCAAACAGAGTTTAGAAAACAAGTACCTGAATGTGTCATGTGTTGTTGGGTGCAATGGCAGTAAGCATTTTCTACCAGCAGTCACCAAACAGACACAGTTGAAACATCTGAATGCGGAAAAATCATAAACTCTATATAAAGATTGAAAAATCATGTACAGCACTCTCATCCCAAGTGATAAGGTACCTCAGGTTCCTGGCCCTCATGCCCTAAAAAGGGATAGCACAAGTTGAGAATGATAGATTTAAATCATTTTGAATTCTAAGCCTGTTGACCAGCATACTTCCTCCAACATACTGAACAGTTTCTCCCAACTGTAGGCCCTCTGCAAATTTAATATGCCCTGTATCTGACCAAGGCCAGCAGTGACAATAAGATAGTTCCAGTCAAAGGAAGGACCTCAGCACTTTCCATCTTCCAGGACATGAAACTTCAGCAACTTTCATCGCTTCTATAGTGTTGTCATTTTCACTATTTCTCTGTAGAAAGGTCTGGTCTGCTACTAAGTCCTCCCTTATCAGTTTCTTTAACTTGTGAGAGCTATTTTCTCAGTAACCCCTTTTGAAAATCTACTGTGGGCTTTTGTTGGTGGTGGCAGTGTTTTTTGGGAGAGGTTTATTCGGTTTTAATAAAGTTCAAAGGACAAAAACCTTCTCTCCAAATTTTTCTCCACAACTTCTAGTCTCAGCAGGACTTATCCTGATTCTCTTCATATTTCACCATCATATTTGGTGGTGCTTTCACATTCCTAAAAACGTTTAGGGTTTGTCTCCTCCTCCCATTACTTGAACTCCTAACTGAAAACCAATAAACCAGTCACTGCTGAGGCTAAAATTAGGACTCTTAATTAGCCAGATCTCCCAGTGACGCAGGATTTTGACAATAAGGTAAGAAGAATTCCTTTGTTCATAATTTATAAATAGTATTTATTGGCATGGTTACTGGTACTATTCCTCTAGGAATACATTGCATTAATTCAGCTGGACATGCTAAGGAAGTCATGTAGGAAGTGAAAAAAGTACAAGATAAGTAACCAGGAGGTAGTCATTGGCTATTAAAAGACAATTGCTGGACAAATCACTTCAGAAACTCTGCTTCCTGGCTTCAGCCGATTTCCAGGGTGCATTTTGCTTGGCTGTGTTTTGTTGTTTTGGTTTTTTTTTTTTTAATTCTGTTTTCTTTTTGTCCTTACAGAGAAAAACAACTTCTACACAATACCAAAAGCCACTGGATGTGTACCTCTGCAAGATGGTTAGTTGAAGTATGTTCGAAATGCAGCAACAGTACAGCAGCAATAAATGAGATCAAGCAAAACAAACAAACAAAACAAACAAAACAAAACAAAACAAAACAGTTTGTGTTGTGAACTATACATTTGTACACAGGTAAAAAATGTATGTATGGTTGTACTGCTGTCACTTCAAAAAGAAACAGATGATCAGTTTTTGGAGTGCATTTTACAGAAACTCCTCTAGAAAATCTGGCTTAAATTTCCAGATTAACTATGCTATTGCAAAAAGAATAATTTAATCTGAAATCTGGATGTGATGCTGATATTGTTTTAATAGGTACAATTTCAATTACACTTCTAAGCAGCAAATTTAAATGTTTAATTTAATTAGTTTGCCTGTCTTAAAGCATTTTCAAAAATTCCTCTTGCTGTACAGTGAATTATACTATCCATTTAAAATATATTTTTTTTAAAGCCCAAAAGTAAGTGAGGCATCCTGTACCTTTCTTCATATCAGCTGCTGCCTAATTTAGTCAAGGTGCCCTTCATTTCTACTGTGGTAGACATGGTTAAAGTCACAGACAATGTAAAATGCAGTCTCAATGATGGAAAAGAACTCCTTGCACCTCTCCTCACACAAGTTTGTTTCCTCTGGGATTTACTCAACAGTTTTGCTCAGTTCAGATTTAAAGTCTCAGTTATGTTGTTCTCTTCCTTAGCGGAGTGTTTTACAATTTAATTGCAATCAAGGAGAGCCAAGAGGCAAGTTTCAACCGAGAAGCCCCTCAAGAGTTGTAATCTACTCCAACATTTGTCAAACTGATCTTATACTTGCTTTATAGACTCTTCATACTTAGATAACACACAGTATTCCTCAGAAAGTCTGGACAATAAAATATGAAATTGGAGTGATATTCTGATATAGTTTTTACCGTATCAAACATTTATTGGTATAAGAAAGGTGGGCCTGGGTGAACCTGATGAGGTTCCACATGGGAAAGTGCAAAGTTTTGCACTTGGGCCAGAGGAATCCCAGGCATCCCTACAGACTGGAAGGAGAGGTCCTTGAGAACACCCTTTGAAGGTGCTCTCAAGGAGAAGGACCTGGGGGTCTTGATGGATGAAAAGCTTAACATGAACCAGCAGTGTGCTCTTGCAGCTCGAAAAGCAAATGGTATCCTGGGAGCCATCAGAAGAGCGAGAAGAGCGGTGGCCAGCAGGGACAGGGAGGTGACTGTCCCCCTCTACTCTGCTCTTGTGAGGCCCCATCTGGAGTACTGTGTCCAGGTCTGGAGCCCTCAATACAAGAAAGACAGGGAGCTGTTGGAGAGGGTCCAGAGGAGGGCCACAAAGATGATCAGGGAACTGGAGCACCTCCCCTGTGAAGACAAGCTGAGGGAGAGCTGGGCTTGTTCAGCCTGGAGAAAAGAAGGCTGCGGGGTGACCTCATTGCAGCCTTTCAGTATGTAAAGGGAGCCTACAAACAGGAGGGGAGTCAACTCTTCAAATGGTTGATAACTGCAGGATGAGAGGAAATGGTTTTAAGTTGAGGGCGGGGAGATTTATGTTGGATGTCAGGGGGAAATTCTTTACAGAGAGAGTGGTGAGGTGCTGGAAGAGGCTGCCCAGAGAGGTTGTGGTTGCCCCATCCCTGGAGGTGTTCAAGGCCAGACTGGATGAAGCCCTGGGCAGCCTGGTCTAGTATTAAATGTGGAGTGAGCCTGTGGGTATTAAATGTTGGTGGCCCTGACTGTGGCAGGGGGGTTGGAGCTTCATGATCCTTGAGGTCCCTTCCAACCCTGGCCATTCTGTGATTCTGTGTGATTCTGTGATAAGGAGAACAGCAGAGTTTGGAGCATGGAGTAGTTTGGTCAGTTGTGATAATTTGGTCAACCAGGAAGATGGCAGAGGGAGAAAGTGAGCAGAGACAAATGGGTCAGCCCTTGATGTCACTGCAGAAGGCACTTAATCAGCCTTGAAGAGGTATTGCATTGGTAGAAAATAGCTCTTTCTCTCTCTCAAAGGCCCTTATAAGTCACTCAGGTAGACTGTTTAGAGTAGAGTAAGATGATGGGTACTTATTGTAGTACAGTCTCAATATTTTTTTAGTGTACCTGTCCATTGAAA